CCTCCTGGATGTGTAGCCGGCCACCTCCAACATCGCACTGCCACATCCAAATTCTAGGCTTCCCTCCCCAAATCTGCTCTTCCCACCCTCAGCCTCAACCCATCCAAGGCCGCCACCCACCTTACCCCTTGGCTGGGGAGCCTAGGAGGGGCTGCAGTACAGCTGTAAAGAGCAGAGACCCTCCAAATTCACAGCTGGGGTTGGAATCCTGCTTCTGCCACTGAGTAGCTGTGTTTCAGGACAGCAAACTTGAAGACTGTGAAGGTGTGGGGGGAGAAGCTGCACCCCAGTCACGACATAAAAATGTTCCTGAGCTGGTACATAGACCCATGGACCTTGAGCATCCCTGCCTGGGTGCTCTCTGGAGCCTTAGGAGGCCTGTCATGGTCCTGGGTTGGTCCAGACTCCCCTTGACAACCTGCGAGGGCACCAGGAGCTGCCTTTAGGGTGAATATTAGAGGTCAAGGATCCTCGAGGTCAGAGCTGGCCAGGCCCCCAGAGGTCCTCCAGTCAAGTCTTCCTTCTACACCAGAGAAGACATGACCTATCCAAAGATCCTTAGTGGATGAGAAGCAAATCTGAGCGTTGAGCTGAAACTTCCTGACTCCCAGTGGGTGGGTCCCCAGGAGCCCACGTTTGCATCCTTTCTGGTGATTCTCCCCTCTGGCTGTGCAGCCTGGTCATCCCTGCCCCAAGCATACCTCCCTATGTAGGAGAGTAGGGGTCACCCGAAAGGGGGCCTTACCTGACTGCAGTGGGCCTTCCCGTATCTCAGGTAAGTGACGAAGTGCTCACAGTTCTTGCATATAAGACAATACTCTCTGTCCTCACCAATCTTCTCATAGGCAGACTTGAGGATCTTGTGCAGGGGCCATGGGCTGCACTGCTGGTCCAAGTAGTTGTTGATGCGATAGCGGCAGCCCCCTACCACGTTCTCCAGGCACTCCAGCTTCACCACCGCCCTGCAGCTCAGACTGGAGGAGAGGCTGGAGGAGCTAGCCCCGGAGAATCCACCTGGGATGGGAGACAACCTTCATCAGGAACTGCAGGGGAGAGGGAGGTCGGGAGAGAGGAGGGGCAGGACAGGAAAGAAGGACAAAGGGACTCCACTACTGAGCTTTGGGTGTTTATCGGTCACAAATGTGATTGGAGGATTCATAGTTTTTGCTCTTTTTTTACTTAACAAGCTGTAACTAACTAGCTTTTCAAGCCAATGAACGTCCTGAGTGTCACAGCTGTCGGTGCATTCCATTACATGAAGATACATCATCTATTTGACCAATCTCTCTTAACTTTCTTCCTTTATTTATTTAAATTTAATATTCTTAAATCATTTTAAAAGGTTGCTTTCAATATATAGTTATTACAAAACATTGGCGATATTCCCCGTGTTGTACACTACATCCTTGAGCGTCTCTTATACCCAATGGTATGTACCTCGCACTCCCCCATCCCCAGATTGCCCCCACCCCCGCCACTGGTAACCACTGGTTTGTTCTCTGTATCTGTGAGTCTGCATCTTTTTTGTGATATTCACTAGCTGGTTGTATTTTTCAGATTTCACACATAAGTGACATCACACAGTACTTCTCTTTCTCTGTCTGACTTATTTCACTTAGCATAAAGCCCTCCAAGCCCACCCATGTTGCTGCAAATGGCACTATTTCATTCTTTTTTATGGATGAGTAGTATTCCATTGTATATATTTATATACACCACATCTTCT